TTTCTCTGGAAACTCAGAAAAAGTTTCCCTGAGAAAATTAAATTTGACTCAAGATCTAAGGGATGGTGATAAGGAGAGTTCCAAGCAGAGAAAGGAGTACTTTTCCACTTGCAGACATGTTGGCTCCTTCTTTGAAATTTTTATTTCTGTATGTGCTGTCTCTTGGCATTTTTCTCTTGAATTTTAATGTATTAGCCATCAATCCTGACCTTCTATTCCCATAATAATAACAGCAAATGTTTATGAAACACATACTACTTGGAAGATAACACTCTAAGCAATTTATATACACAAACTCATCTAATCCTCATAGTGACTATACTGAGGTAGGTTATATTTCCCCATTTTATAGATGAGGAATCTGAGGCACAACCATGAGAAGTTACTTGTCTAAAATTACGAAGCTGCTGGTACTAACCTTGCATGTTCCCTATCTCCATCATAACTTATCACTCCAAGTCACCAAGCTAAATTAGCACTATTATTGCTAAAGAATACCAAATCTCCTACAGCCTCCAAACTGCCACCATCTTCAATTAGGCTGGATCATGCTTATTTTCTCTAGTTTTCAGAAATTAGGAATAAAAAATTGACCATGGTAGCCTACATTCAAACATCTCCAGGAACAAGAAAAATGTTCTTAGAAAAAGTAATACATTCTTACAAAGTGATTGATTCAGAAAATGAAATAATAAAAACTGGTCAAGGAGAAAGAATTATATTTATTTAATTCCTTCTGTACCTCTCAAGGGAGATGAAGAGGAATTTTTTTTCTTTTAAATCAATCTCATGTTTTGCATGTATTTGCAAAGCTAAAATAATATATAGTAAATTGGCTAGGACGCAGAAGAAACTCCCAAAATCAATTATTTTCTTTAGGTAAGCGTCTTTTAAAAAAATTTTTTTAAAGGAAAAAAATTACTATTAGGTGACCAAGGCCTCACTCAAAACTATATCTTCATTTTTTTTAAGTTCCTGTTATGACCAAAAGTTTAATTTACAATTCACCATTGAAGGTGATGTGAAAAACAGTAATTAAGTGGGCGATTGATACAAGTGAGTGTGTGACTCATCGCTTGCAAAGGAAAATGATTTTGGGGAAAAGGCTCAGGAAGAGAAAAAGCAAATAATGGATCTGCAAGAAATGCAGACCTTTCCTGTCCAAGGACTGTCACCAGTTCTTTATTACTTGAAGATTAAGGGAATAGAGAATAAAGCTGTCTGCCAGACAGCAGAAAAGGTAAGAAATAACATTGTCTCTAAGTGTACCTCACATAAAAGTATTCAGAAATACATTCATAAAATTAAACTTTATATAAAAAGTTACTAGAAAACCCAACTCAAATCTGAACAATGGAAATGTCAAAATAAAACAATATTACATTTGTCAGGAACTTGAACAGAATGAAACAGCAGGGTAGGTCAAGCTGTAGGCTGTCTATAATTTTATTCCACTTTGTTTTAGAAAAACCACAGATCCAATAATGATTTAGTAGGAGACTTAGTGGCGTTTGTTTGTATTTGGTTGTTTTTCTACTTCATGGGTCAGTGTAAAATAAATTTGTTTTTTACTTTTAGGTTTCACCAAATTTATGCAATTTCTTTCTCATTCTATAGGTCAAATACAAGCCATTTAATTGAGTTTTACTTCTTTACTAACTGCCCCACTCTTCTCATATATATCTCAAGTATCTATAAACCTGTAATGTGCTAATTAGACCAGACAACCGAACGACCTTCCAGATGTCATTCCAGACGTCCTTCCGGATGAAGCTGCAGCAGCAGGGGCCAAGGCAGAGGTGGTTAGGGGCAATCAGGCTGGCAGGTGAGCAGTTAGGGGAGATCAGACAGGCAGGCAGAGAGGTTAGGGGTGATCAGGCAGGCAGGCGAGCAGTTAGGAGCCAGCGGTCCCGGACTGAGAGAGGGTGCAAGCTGGGATGAGGGACCCCCCCCCCCATGCACAAATTTCGTGCACCAGGCCTCTAGTATCATATAATAGAGGCCCAGCACACAAAATCATGTGCCCTGCCCACCTGCACCTCGCCCACCCGCCCACCACCCTGCTGTTCTCACAGCCCCACCCAACCACGCATGCCTCACTGCACCCACCTCACCATGCCCACCGTGCTCACTGCCCCACCCACCCACGCACACCTCGCCATGCCCGCTGCACCTGCCACCCCACTGGTCACCAGCCTTGCTGCAATCAGAGCCTATGGGCTGCGGGGGGAGGGACCGAGGTGCTCCATGCGTTCCAGCCACTGGCTTTTTATAATATAGATATTTATATATACTTTATAAAAAAAAAAACACCATTTAGGTAAGGATATTGTTATCCTTGCATTATGAATCTTAAAGACAATGAAGAGAATTTCATTTTGATGAAGTCATTTTTAACAGGTTTTATCCAACTTAATTTTTTTAACTTAATTCTTTAACTTAAGTTTTCAAATGTATTGTAGAGTCCCTACTATGTATGCGACAGCACTGAGCTAGATGTTTAATACAAATTATCTATTTAAGAATACTAGGTTTATTTTGTTATATACTGCCTGAAGATAATGAAACAGAGTATTGTTGTAAAGCAACCTAAGTTATATGACTGATGGGCTTATACATGAGCAACATCCAGGCATTCTAAAATACCTTATGCATATAGCTCAGAACTTAGTTCATGAAAACTGTGCGATCTGATTTGAAGAAGTCTCAAAAAAAATTAAGAACTCTGTGTGTGCATGATCACACATGCATGTTAGATAAGAGATTCAAACTTGGGCAGTTTAATTAAAGAAGCAAGGTATGACTTTTAAAATGAAAATGATTGATTTAGATAATAACAGTAGTTTCTAGAATAAGAGATCGTATTTCTAAAGTCAGCAAGATAAAAATTATCAGCTTTAATTATAAATAACATTTGAAAAAAAATTACTATAATAAAGATTTTTTTTTCCCATTTGTAAATATGCATAATTTTCAAGAGGTTTCTAACTTTTTGTTTTTGGCTATCATATTACCTAACATTTTTGTGACCTCTTTATAGATATTAAAACATTTTCATATTTCAGACCTCATATAATCCTGCCAGCAATACTATAAGTAACTCAGGTGTGATTATTAATATTATGTATTAATATTAACACTATGGGTGGTATTAATACCAGATAGTCAAACATTTTTCTAGATTTTTTTCTGTGAAGGTGTTTTGCTTTTTTTAAAAATGAGGTTAACATTTAAATTGTTGGATCGGGTAAAGCAGATTACCCTCCATAATGTGGGTGGGCTTAATGGAATCTAATGGGAAACTTTAATAGAGCAAAGACTGACTCCTGGAACAAAAGGAGTTCCACCAGCAAACTGCCTTTGGACTCAAACAGCAACCCTTACCTGGGTCTCCAGCCTGCCAACCTAATATGCAGATTTTAGACTTATTAACCCTCTATAATCATGTGAATCAATTCCTTAAAAATAAATAAATCAATCATTCTCTCTCTCTCTCTCTCTCTCTCTCTCTCTCAAGAAAAATTCAGATCTTTACCTTTGTCTCCAGTCATTCCTGAAAAGATGCAAAAATTCTCAAGGAGATGAAAAGTAGAATTCAGTTTCCATAGCCTACCACTTAGCCAGTCTAATGTTCTTTTTCTTTTAAAATACTTATCTGACAAAACTAATCAGCTCTGGAAAACAGTTTGGCAGATCCTCAAAAAGTTAAGCATAGAGTTGTCATCTATTTCACGCCTAGGTATATACTCAAGAGAATTGAAAACATATTGTCCACACAAAAAGCTGTACATGAATGTTCATAGCAGCATTATTCACAGTAGCCAAAATGTAAAAACATAAATGTCATAAGTTGAAGAATAGATTTTTTAAAAAAGTGATACATCCATACAACAAAATGATTCAGGGATAAAATGAAATAGAGATTCGTGCTACAATGTAGATAAATCTTGAAAACATGCTAAGTAAAAAAAGCAGATGCAAAAGCTACATATTGTATAAATCCATTTATATCAAACTAGAAGCCTAGTGCATGTATTCGTGCACCGGTGGGGTCCCTCAGCCTGGCCTGAGCCCTCTCGCAATCCAGGACCCCTTGGGGGATGTCGGACTGCCGGTTTCAGCATAATCCCCACAGTTGGGCTGAAACTGGCAGTCCGACATCCCCAACAGATGTAGCAGTGCTTGAAGCAGCAGGCGGCTGGGGAAAGGCCCGAGCTGGGGGGGGCGCCACACCACTCCCGCTCATCCTGACTCCCGCTCATCCTGGCGCCGCTCGGTAGCACTGCCACGAAGGCGGGAGAGGCTCACACCACAGCAGCTGTGCTTGCCAGCCATGAGCCCGGCTTCTGGTTGAGCGGCGCTCCCACTGGGAGAGGGCACTGACCACCAGGGGCAGCTCCTGTGTTAAGTGTCAGCCCCCTGTGGTCAGTGCACATCACAGCTACTGGTCAAGGGATCGATCAGCCATTTAGGCTTTTATATATATAGATGTCCATATTAGGCAAATCCATACAAACAAAAAAATAGATTAACGGTTGTCAGAAGTAAAAAAAAAAAAAGGGGGGGGGGGGGTGGAGACAATAGCCCAGTCTGCATGGCTCAGTGGTTGAGTGATAACCTATGAACCAGGAGGTCAAGATTCGATTCCCAGTTGAGGCACATGCCCAGGTTGCAGGGCTCAATCCCCAGTATGGGGCATACAAAAGGCTGCCTATTAATGATTTTCTCTCATTATTGATGTTTCTATCTCTCTCCCCCTCTCTGAAATGAATAAAAATATGTTAAGAAAATTTTTTCAAAAAGGAAGACAATAGAGAGTGAATACTTTCAAGTATGGAGTTTAATAATAGAGTGATGAACACATTCCTGAATTAGGCAGTGGTGATCATTGCAAAATCTTGTGAATATACTAAAATCCATTGAGTCACACCACTTAAAATTGTGAATATTAAGATAAGCAAATTATATCACAATTTAAAAATAAAAACAAATGAACTTACCTGCCCTTTTTGTGGTGCCAAACAACGAACAACTTCATCCACCATTACTGGAATATGTAGTTTACTCATAGCTTCAGAATCTCTGTCTTGAGATCTGTGAAACTCATGAGCTCCAGCTTGATCTGTTTGCTCCTGGGATTCATATTCATCATATCTTTCTGATGTAGCATGTATCCTTTTAACACCTAAATTAAATATGCCAGCTTCCAACCAACATGAAAGACATTCTTTATAGGTTCTATGAAAGTATGGATAGCGAAGCATTCTGTAGGTCAACAAATCTAGAAAAAAAATTTTAAATATCATGATTGTTGGATTTTTTAAAAGGATGCCATAATACTTGGGGAAAAGCAAATTAGTATATAATATTTACCACACAAAAATGTGTAAGACTCATCATCTCAAACAAGTGTGAGTGAGTAATCTCCTTATACAAAGCAAGGAATCTAAAACAATTCAAGAAACAATCTCAAAATGTAATTTTTAATGTAGCCTAATTAACCCCAAGACCATTAATATTTTAACCATCAGAAATGTGAAAATTAATTATTTAGTTGTCATTTTTCTGAAATATACTTTTTTGAATTTTAGTAGAGTCTAACAAGTTCAATGCATTAGAACTGTTTATTTGAAAAAGATATCTGGATGACCGAACGGATTATAAATATTATCCTATGTTAGGTTTAGGTGGTCTTTTATTTCAAGCCCTTCTATTTGTTTTTCTCATAATACCAAGACTTCATCTTTCATTTAACTTTGAGAAAAGACTATGCGTGTATATCTAAAATAAAGGGAGGTGTTCAGTGTCCCAGAAAAGTAAAAATCTCACAATTTTGCCATGAATACTCTCTGATATCATGTCACCATGACCTATTTCACGAAGTACTTTTCAATCTAAACCAGCCATGGGCAAACTACGGCCCGCGGGCCGGATCCGGCCCGTTTGAAATGAATAAAACTAAAAAAAAAAAAAAAAGACCGTACCCTTTTATGTAATGATGTTTACTTTGAATTTATATTAGTTCATAGAAACACTCCATCCATGCTTTTGTTCCGGCCCTCCGGTCCAGTTTAAGAACCCATTGTGGCCCTCGAGTCAAAAAGTTTACCCACTCCTGATCTAAACCAACCTATCTAATAAAGAAGGAATATGCTAATTGACCCTCATGCCATCGCAAAGATGGCGGAGCCCATAGCGAATAAAGAGGGGATATGCTAATTGAATGCCATGCCCTCAAAGATGGCGGTGCCCACAGTCACAAGATGGCAGCACCCAGTCCCCTTAGGTCTGCTGGGGCTGCAGGCATTTGGCAAGGCCAGGCCCGCCCATGCACCTGCCTCTGGAGTCCCCCAGTCCCCTCAGCCCCCCAGCACCGGCCTGAGGCACAGGCAAGCCTCGGCTTTCAGCTTCCCAGCCGCCCAGGCCTGGCCCGAGGTGCAGGTAACCAGGTACGGCTGAGGCTTGCACTGCCAGCAGTGGCAGCAGCAGAGGTGTGATGGGGCGTCGCCTTCCCCTGATTGCCGGGTCGCCTCCCAACCCTGAGGGCTCCCAGACTGTGAGAGGGGGCAGGCTGGGCTGAGGGACCCCCCGCCTCCAGTGCATGAATTTTCATGCACCGGGCCTCTGGTCTATACTAGTAATAGAGGAATATGCAAATTGTCTGGGATGCCATCACAGTAACAGTAACGACCAGCAGGCTGCGTGGAGTCACCAGGCCAGCAGGGGGGTTAGTGAGGGACAACCAAACAACTGAACAGCAGGCTGCATGGGGTGACCAGGCCAGCAGGGGGGCAGTTGGAGGCGATCAGGCAGGTAGACAGGTGAGCAGTTAGGAGCCAGTGGTCCTGGATTGTGAGAGGGATGTCCGACTGCCGGTTTAAGCCCGATCCCCGGTATTGGGCCGAAACCAGCAGTAGGACATCCCCTGAGGGGTCCCGGATTGGAGAGGGTGCAGGCTGGGCTGAGGGGACCCCCCCACACACCCCACCATGCACGAATTTCATGCACTGGGCCTCTAGTAACTTTGTAAACACTAAGCTGAGCATACTTTGCCATGTGATAACCACCACTGCTTTAATTATCAGTCCCTTGACCTTAAATAAATAAATAAATATAAAAAGTTGATACACCCTTCACTTTTTCATACTTGCTCTATTTTATTCTGCAACATGTAACTCTTTAAAACAGAAGGAATGTAAGTGTATTAATAGAAGATCTTTTGAAAACATTTTTTTACTCAATTGGTTGTAAACAACACTTCTGATGAGAAATACTTCAGTAAGTAACAAATTAACACAACTCTCCCTTCCTCATGGAATATGAATCATTTAAGAGTAAGACCCACACCTTTATAGCCACAAAATTAGATGCACACTAGGTGCTTAATGTTTTCTGAAAAGAAAAGAAATGGATGGATAAATTCCAGATTCTACAGAATTAACATTTTTATCAAAGTTTGCTTTAGAAAATTTCATTTGTGGGACCAACCTTACAAAAAAACACTTTCTCAAAATACTTAAAAAAACACATAAATCCCACTTAAATATGCCTTCCTTCAGTATTGCAATAGAAAATGAAGAATAATGTTAAAAAGCTAATCACATGTAATAACTAGAGAAGAAATATAAATATACCTATCTGTACATATTTAATATTATGTAAATATAATATCAACAAGATGTTACCTTGAGGATAACATGTTAACTTTACCAAATTCATAATACACAGAATTATGTGGCAAATGTGGCACAGGAAATATATGGCAAAAAAAAAATTATATATATATATATATATATATATATATATATATATATAAAGAGAGAGAGAGAGTTTTAAATAAAACTAGATTGTTCAGCAGTAACAAATTAGCCAAATGAATAATTATGCTTTATGTTTGCCAGAAAGTATATACAAGTAAACTCAACAACCCTTTAACTTAGTATTTCTTACATTTTTTACAAAATAAAAGCTCACATTTATTGAGCATTTACTAAGTACCATTAATAATTCTAAACACACCACATGTACTAACTCATTCAATCCTTACTACTCTTAGAGGTAGGAACTATTATTCCCATTGTAAAGATGAGGAAAACAAGCAAACACTGTGTGAAAAGGTCAGATAGCTCTAGAGCCAGAAAGCTAGAAGTGTTAACTCCAGCATTCTATCCCCAGAGCCTGTCATTTTAACCTCTATGCTATAAACATAGAGACCACTGGCTCTATTTAATACACTTATGTAACTGAAGAGCAATTTAATTATATTGACTAAGTATTGTGGTATCTCATAAATTATATTCTTTTGTTTTTTTAAGGAGCCAATATCCTATTGCTTGGTCCTACTCCACCTGGAAATACAGTGTACTGTGGGGTACCCAACAGAGGACATACAATATATAGGTCTAAATAGTGCAATCTGGAGTATTTCAACAATCTAAATTGTATGTCCAGACTTCAATAATGTTTAAAAAAACAAAACATCAATTCTAATATAGGAATCAGAACCACCTGGGACAAAGCAAGTAGGATAGAAAAAAAAAAATGCTGCCTTTGCCAGCAATTAATTCTTTTCTTCTATATTCAATTTCTATTTACTCAACTATGTTCAAAATACAAAGCCTTAGGATTTTATTATGCACCAATTGGCTACTAAAATGGGTTAACATGGAGTAAGGGCCACAATACTTTTCTTCTTTGGGTGTTTCCTTGAATACCTTGCAAGGAGGTAAACTCCAAAGTTCCTTCTCTGTCCTCTGCAGCCCAGTCTCCTACCAGAACCCCAAAAGTACTGGGGCGGTCCTCCACGAACCGGCCACCCCCAACATGATTTAAGGCAACATATGTACCCTCTGGTCCCAGCAAGGAAGCAGGGGGTCCGGAAACCTGGCCCAATCCGTGGCTTCCTAAGCCATTTAACTTTCCTTTGCCAGCAAAGTTCAGCTTAGCTGTTTGAGACCACGGAATTGGGCAGGTTACCCTTTTAATGGTCGAAGCACAAAGGTGAGCGGTACTGCTTCCTCAGTGGGACTAACCATTGCCATCATCGCAGTCAGTTTTCCCCGCAGAGAAAACTTTTGAAAACTTAATTCCTGAACCCGGAGACGCACCGGAACGCAGAGAAAGTGAAAGTTCTAAAGAGAAGGGGAAAAAGGCATCCTGTGGCCTAAGAATTACACTCGGACGAGGTAACACTGTGTAGAAAGTTCTGAACTCTGAATGAATGAGCGGGCAGCAGAGGAAGCGGTACAAGTGGGGGCAGGGGCGTGTGTTTCCTTTGTCCGGGGCGAGTGGGGCGACCTCTGGAAGTTCCCCAAAGGCGTGGGGGGAGCTCCCGGGACTCGACCACCTTCTCCTCACCTGAAGAACGAAGATTCCTCAGGTGGCCTCTAGCCCGGGCCACCGGTGACCACTACGGGGAACCTGAACTGGTTGCACGCCTTCGTCCCAGCCCCGGGGGGAAACTTGAAAAGACGGACAGCTCGGGTCTGTGTCCCGCCCACAACCAAGGAACGTGCGCCTTTGGTTCCGCTGCTTCCAGCCCCAGCTGCCCAAGGGTCTTGCAGGCGCTGGAGTTTCCAAATGGTGTTCCTTTGTGGGGAGAGGGAGGAGGACGGGAGTTGGTAAATAAGACCCTAGCAATGCCAGGATTTAATTCACTTTTTACTTTTTTTTTTTATGTCAGATGCAACTTTAAATCCAACTTTTCATTTTATACTGGTCTCCACTCTTCATTTTACTACAAGCCTATGTTAAATGTCTGTGTTCTAAATAACATGAAAGTTAGCTATACACCAGTTTCTTTAAAAGGCGGGAATTTCTGTCTCCTGAGCACTATATGTTTCTGAAGTTTTGGTTCTTTTTCCTTCGTTTCCATACAAAATAAGTTCATTTCTTATGCTTTCTGTTATAATCCTTAATGTCTTGCCAAACTAAAGAGAGCTGGCACAGTAATGGCATTGATTACAATGTTAAAATTGATCTGTTTTAACTAAATATACATTCCTTAAAAATACGGAGCTAATCTGAATACTGCTTAATGGCAGTGTAAGGAAAACTTTAAATCAAAATAACTACCTAGATTAGGCGTGGAAACACCTGTTAGACGGATAAGCCTTATACAATGTGTGTCAAAAACGATGAAATTTAAGATATCTACTTTCTCAGTCACCAATGACCAATGCAATTTTACAAGAAATTGGTAAAACACCTTTTTCACTTTCTATTAAAATAGCATCTTTTTTTTTTTGAGATAGCATCTTAATATCCCTCAATCTGGAAAGTATTTCAGAGACAAATTACTCAATTCTGAATTAGCTGGTTTGTACAGTTCAAGAAAACTATTTTCCTTTAGGGATTTCCTGAAAACTTCAGTTTTCACTTCAATAAAATAAATAATACCCACATCTCATGGGCTGTTTTGAGAATTAAATGACATAACATATGTAAAGTTAATAAAATGCCTGGGACATCAAAGATAAAGAACTATAGAGTGAGTGCATATGTGAATTTTTTAAAAAGACTTGTTAGTTTTATTATTAAACTCAGCATCACACATACATACACACACACACAAACACTATTGCATTTGCTAAGATATATGTAATACAGCCAGTAATTAATAGCTTTATTGATGCTTTATCCTCTGTTCAAAACCAATCATATAACATGCATCAAATACAATGTACAGCGCTTCTGATTTTCTTCCATAAGAAGTAAATGTCCATTTTATAGGGGTTTTCCAGACATTGTTTTACTTATAATACTCTGCATTGGTGTTGTGCCATCCTATTTATATGGTGATATTGAATCACCAAGATATAAGCTCCAAGAGGGTAGGGATATTAACACAATTGTGCACTATTATGTCCCTAAAATATAAAATCAACAATTGCTGAATAAACGGATACAATAATGGTAATAATATAAAGGACAACAATGAAATTCACATCATACTATTAAAAATTTCCTGACGACAAATTATCTTAGCAAACATATTTCCCATTTTATCCAGGCATTTTTTTTCCTTTTAAAGTGTACATTCCGAAACAATACATAAAACCTAGTACTTAAAAAACAAAACAAAAACTACTGCATCCAATAATGAATAGGCCAATAAGTTTAAATGAATTTATTTTGAAATGCCATCATTAGAAAGAAATGTAAAACACCAAATGGTTTCACAATTGGCGCCAAAGAGAGTAGGCCTGGGAGTCCAGAGAGATGAAGCCTGGGGCCTCAAACCTAAAGCCCTGGACTTTTAATTAATTGAGGCTTATTGATCACGCTTCGGTCCCAGTGACAGTGGCTTGGGACCTGTGCCTTTGCAGGCCTCACTGGTCAGTGGAGAAAATAAACACCCAGAACCTATTAATCCACACCCAACAGACTCTGCCTCTCCCTCTAGCAGAGGACACCCACCAACCCAGGCCTATACCCTTCTCACTCACACCCTGAACCCTGGGACCCAGCCTCGCGCCTGGGGCGACAGAAGGCGGCCTGAGACTCCCAGGTGGCTAACTCCCACCTGCAGTTCCGGCCTGGCCCCGCCCACCTCGGCCACCGCCTCCGGAAACAGCCGCGTGCGTTGCCAAGGAGACGCGAGTCAAGGCAGCTTCCGCTGAGTCGCGCGGCTGAGGCTTTTGGAGCCCAGCGGCTGCGCGCCGCTGCAGCGCGCCGCGGCAACGTCCGACGTGATGGCGTCACGAAGACGGCAGCCAATGAAACGGGGCGCTGAGGAAGCTGGCTTGGGTTTGAATCTCTTGGTTGAGTTTGAGTCCCCGGGAGGTTGATGTGGAAGTGAGGAGTTGCGGGATCCTTTTTTGGGGCTGGATGCGAGGGAGAGGAACTCTAGAGAAAGCTGTTCTCGGGACGCGCTCTTCGATGACCTGTCTTGCTGGACGCGGAAGGGTCCCGCCGCCTCACACGTGGAAGACCAGGTGGGCTGGCTTATTGATCATTTGGTGTTTTACAAACAGGGAAGCGTTGAATGGAGGGTGAGGGTGAGGGCGGGGGTGGTTAGGATCCCTGGGGAGAAAGCTAAAGGAAGAGGAAACTGGAGAACCCCCAAGCGCCTGGCTCCGTGTGATCGGAAGCCCACGACTGCTCCGCAGGAAGGGCTGGGATCTCCTGCCTTAAATTCCGAGGAAGTCCAAGTTTTAAAGGGCATCCTGGCCCCTTTCCCAGACTTCGGCAGAGCACTTTCTGCCCAGCACTTTGACAGTGTAAAGTGATCTCCGCACCCCAAATTCAGAGTGTTTTGTGTCAGACACAGATGTGAAAGTGACTGGGCATCCCTGTCAAATGAGGAACCTTGGTTCCCTAATGTATAAACTTTTTTCCCGTGAGGTTCTGCAGTTAGACGGGCAAAAGTCCATGGAGACCCTGCCTGGAGGCCTGAGCACCAAGATTAGACCTGCCAGCACTGCCTAACGGATTGCTGAGGATCAGATGAGGTATGGAAGAGATCAGACTGCTTGGCAAGTTGCAAATGAAAGGGACATGGAGCTCTGAGAATCGGCCCTTCTAACGTCTGTGCTTAGTTTCTGCAAGACTCCTTTAGGCACTCAATTACATAGAGGTCAAAGCTGACCACGGTTTAGGAGATTGGACCTGACATGAATAATTTTGCTGCATAATCTGTGACTTAGGTTAACTGTTAACAATCAGGTAGAATGTGTTGGGCATTCTACAGGTTTTAGTTGGTAGTGTTATTCCGCCACCTTGAATTTTGGGAGGTATACTAGTAAATGAACTTTGGTGCTAGAGAATATAAGATTCAAAGACTACATAGGGCCTGTTATGTAAGTTTCTGTTATTTTGTAATAATTGTATTTCAGTACAAAGAGTATCTGCCTTTAACTGTAGTGATTAATGTCTCTTCTGTTTTTGAACAAGTACTTAGAAGTACATGAAATTTTCGTTTTAAAAAAGTGCCTCCTGTTCCACTAAAAATATACCCTGAATCGATGAAGGTACACATGAAATTATTTTTATGCTGTCAACTCTATAAAAACTAGGAGGGAAAAAATAGCCCAGATGTCAGTGCCACCCTTCCCTGCATGTGAAATTCATTCCCTGATGCATATGTTAGTAGAAGCAGTGGTTCTAACACTAAAGTTATTTCCAAAAAGAGGTTTAAGTTGCCTAGAGACAATAAATGATAGTGTGGAGGATAATTCCTGGTCCTAAAAACTGTTTGTTGAATCTGAATCTAATTCAGGTTTGAGTTAACTCTATCATTCCACATTCAAGATGATTCATGCAACGTTTCTGTTTCATTGTTTGAAAGCATTCTGTTCCGATTCCAGTAGAGCATTGTTGTTCAGAACATTGACTTTGGATTTGGATCTGGATCCACATTCTGACTCCTCACTTACTAGCTATGTCATCTTGGCAGAATTACTTATTCTAAAACTAGGTCTCTGTTTTTTGTAAAATGGAGACAATAATAGAATCTACCTTATATATGATTATTTTAAGGATTGAATGAGATAGTGAATGTCAAATGTTTACTATAATGCCTGATATATATACAGTGTTTTCAAATAATAGTCATTGTTGTTCATGATTACTAAATATCACTGTGTAGACCTAATCCAAGAGTTCTCAATTCATGGTATATTTGGAGAGAATAGAAACTGATAATCCAACAAGCACAGAGAAAGCATAAACTTTGTTTTATTTCAACATGTATGCAAGAGCTCCTGTACTACCCTGAGGTTTCTATCAAAAGTAGGCAAATCTATATTTTTTAAACTTCTGTAAGAAAGTTTGTGTATTATGTATTGATGTCAGGAAGAATGGCAATTAAATTCTTGAGTTTTAGATTTAGTCTGTGTTCAAATCCCATGTCTTGTGCTTCCAATAGTGTGACTTTTGCCAGTTAACATAATCTCTCCCTAACTAGTTTTTTTCCTGTGTAAGATTGGAATGTTAATAATATACCTATATCATAGGATTGTTGTGGGGATTAAATGAGAAGCATGTAAATTGCTTAGAATGTCTGTCTGTAGAATAAGAGCTCAATAGAAAATATTTCATAAATAGAACTTGTTATTAAAGGGTAGTTGTGTTTAAGGTAAACTTAATAATTTTTGTTTTGTTTTGTTTTTGAAATTTTGCATTTAAAATTCAAACAGCAAAAAAGAATATAAAGTAGAAAGCAAGCCTGCCTGTCACCCAGACCTTTATATTTCCTCACCATGGGGCAACTGGCATTATCAATTTCTGTGTTCTCTCTCTCAGAGTCCATGCATACACAAACAGTATGTAACTTTTAAACATACAAATGATTGTGTGCCGAGTCCACTATTCTGCACTTGTTTTTTGGCACATGTATCAGTAAAAAACTGCATTCGTTTATTTTTCGTTTATCAATAAGTATGTATTGAGAATCCTAAATATTTGACAAGCCCTGTTCTAGGGTCTGGGGTACAAATGAAGACCATACTCTCACAGTATTGACATTCTAGAGAGGAAACAATAAGTATGTAATCAAATAAAACATCTATTTTCCAGTTAGTCTAGAATAGATGCTAAGAAAATAAATAAAGTAGGTAAGAGATTGATGAGGCAAGGGCAGAAATACTATTTTGAATGGGATCTTGAGGGAAAGCTTCTGTAAAGTGCCATTTGAATAGAGAGAGATCTAAATGATGAACTGAGGGATTAAGATTTGCAGATATTTAAAGGTAGAGCCTTCCAGGCAAAGAGAAGAGAAAGTGTGAAGGCAATGAGGACAGGACAAGACTGGAATTTTTTTAGGGACACTAAGGACAGTGTGACTGAAGCAGAGTAACCAAGGAAGAGAACATTTGAAGAAACGGTCTAAGTAGACAGGTGTACAATCTACAGGACATGGTAAAGAGTACATTTTATTCTTATGTTGGGAAGTCATTGAAGAATTTATAGCAGGGGGAATGACATAAGATTCATAAAGTAATCTTACTGCTTTTGAAGAAAGCATCAGTACATACAGTCAATGAACTAAAAATATTATTGTATTTATGTACAATTGGGGGTGAATCTTTTAACTTAATTGGCTTATACTTTACCTAGAGTGAATGGTAGTTAGATAAAGTTAAGGATTGCCCCCGTTCAACACAATTTATATTATCTTGCAATTATTGAAGAGAATTAGTTTTTAACACCTCTTCATTAAATATAGCAGAGAAATGAGCTGTTCCATGTAAGTGAAACTCCCAGAAAATTGAATGTTACCCTTGTCAAGTGACATTTTAAGCTTTCTCACTGATTAGCATGAAACATTATCTCATTTTCCTGATTTTGTATGAAAAGAAATTTGGCACATTTTTTAAAATTTGTGCCTCAGGGTCCTCATTGTAATTGCCTGTTATTGCCAATCATTGTACCCTACTGTAATATGTTCATTCTGTTAGAGAAATATATTGTATGTTTGTCTCTAAATGGGTAAATTGCTTTCTTAGATTCTGTGTCTATTTATTTATGTGTCTAGGTTCAGTACAAGAAGTTAGGGATATAAAAATTAAAAAAATACACCTTCACTAGCTGTTATATCTTGTCATATGCAATAATTATAAAACTTTAGAGCTAGAAAAAGGACCTTAGATATTATATAATGCAACCTTATTTTATAGATTGGGAACAAAAAGCCCCTTCATTAGCTCCTTTTTACTCTTTTGTATTCTTTTCTCTGTAGACTAGACAAATACCTTTCTTCTATATGAACAAGGGTATTGGAAGTGTTTCTCCTTAATGTTTTAGTTCCAACAACGAAATCCCATCAGCTTGCTCTTTTGATTCTATTCAATCAATATCACTTAGTAAATATGACAAAATTGAACTGTCATTTGAAAAATATTTTGGAATCAACAGATTATTGTCAGATAACAATATTTATTCTTTTGCCAATTAATAAACATGGTTAAGGAATTTGCTTTCTTATGTGCCTTATTCAGAATCAACTAGATCTCCATCTCTTGTACTTAGCCATGTTAGAAAAGAAAGCAGGCATCATGTATTAGTATAAGAGCAACCTCATCAATCCCTGAAGGCATCAGTATATTTAAACATAGACAAATTTTTACATTTTGGTGATTTTGTTGACTTTAGGTTATTTGTTTGTTTGTTTCTTCTAACTTTAGGTATTTTTATTATGAAAATTATATTCACTCATTTGTTTTGACAAATTAGGGTAAATATGATACTTTAAAAATTAAGATGATGTCTTTCTTAAAGTCTAAAACAAGTTTAAAACAAATTTGCATTTGCCATACTTCTTAAACTATCTTTTAGGTAATTGTCAAAATTTCTCCTTGAAATGTTACTTGAATAAGATCTGTTGCCTTCTAAAATATCTTCAATAATTCCTAATTAAATTTTCAATCAAATCTAAGCTATAACCTTGCATTCAAGATCTTCTAAATCTGACCCCACCCTAATCCAGTTTTATATCTGAATGCAATCTTTTCCCTTCTCTTTTGCTGCGTCAGTACTGAGCAAACAAAGGTAAATTGAGCATCTCTTTAGATGCTATAGAAAAAGTTACAATTATCTAAAACTAAACTAGAAGAAACAAAATTTAAGAAAATTGACCATGCAGCCAGTTATGTCCACTGCACAAGAGCTTATGTTTTCTACCATAAGCTCTTGAACCTGCTGCCTGAAATATTTTTGCCATAGGCACTTACTTTCTCACTCATTATTGAGTTTCTGTAAAGTCACCCCACTAGATAAGCTTCTTTCAACTGCCCTATCCTAAAATAGGAGCCCATACATACACTGCTGACCCTCTTTATCCTAGGGCCCAGAGAAATGCCTAACACATAGAAGGCACTCAGTAAACATTTACTGAATGCATAATTAGTTTTCCTTCTTGAAATGCTTTTTTTTTTTTTTACCTAGTTAATAATTATCCATCCCTCAGCTCTCAACTCATCACTTCCTCTAGGAAGCTTTCTAACTATATCAGTACCCCATTATACTTTTACATAGCACTTATCACCTTTACTTTAAAACACTTGGCACAGTTAAACCTTTATCTTTTGTGTCACTGTATTGTTAATATCTGTTTCCCTCACTGCACTGTATATTATAATAATATTGTTAGTAGCAAACATTTGCAGTGGTATACTCTGTGTCAGACATTATTCTAAGTGCTTAATCCTCACAACAATTCTATGAAGTAGGTATTATTAGTCCCATTTTACAAATGAGGAAACTGAGCCATAAGGCATTTAAGTAACTTGCCCACAGTTATGGCCAGTTAAGTAGTAGAGCTGGAATTTTAAACTAGGCTGTCTGGCTCCAACATCTAAAAATTAACTTATTGAATTAATTAGTTAATTAGCAAGATTTACCTTCCATCCTTGAGGTTCTAAGTTCTGTTTTGAAATAATCACCTAATGTCTTATAAGCTTGGTTAACCATTTCATCATATATGTACATATCTGTCATTTTTAAAAAGTTTATCAGTTAAAGTCAAAGCATTGTTGAATACTTTTAAAAGATTTAGAAATGTGTATGGAGGTTAGTTTTTGGGTATCATAAGAAATGTGGGATTCTACTAGCCTTTAATAGGCGCAGGTCAGAAATGCTAAACATACTCTAATGCATGGGGCAATTCTAAACAAGGAAGAATTATCCTACCCAAAGTACCAGTCATAAGCTTATTGGGAATCATTAAAAAGATGGACCAGTATCTCTGGAAACAAGAGGCATGAGTGGGAACAGATAGTGAAGAGAATTGACGTTTATTGAATGCCTTAATACCTGTTATGTCCTTTAACCTTTACAACAATATTATGAGGTATTCTCTCTTTTACACAAATGAGAAACCTGAGACTCAGTGAGGTTAAGTAACTTGACCAAGGTCATAGAAATGAGCTATAGGTGCTTTGTGGGACTTGGCGAGACAGAAAGAGCAGAGTAGTAATTCACTTGGGACCTGACTGTTAGAATCCAAATGACCATCTTTCGTCTTTAGCATTCTATTTTTGGAGAAGGACAGAGTCCTAAAATGGGAGTGCTGTGTCCACTGTCTTCTGCTTTTAGATTGCTTTTGGTCTTATTTGAATTCTTTCCAAAAGTATATGGTTTTATGACATATTTTAGCTATCTCATTGCTGTTATTTTTCCATTAAAAAAAACACACACACACAAATGAAATTTCTTCTTTAACCCTTCTTCCCCCTCCACCCACACCATTTCTTTGCTCACTTCTGCAGTAGTAGTTTCTAGTAGTAGTTTCTTTATTCACTCTTTGAATCTTCTCCCATTCAGTCTTTTGTCCCACCATTCCCCCAAAATTGCTCTTCTCATTGGCCTCTGTTTTACTAAATCCCATGGTTACTTCTTATTAAATATTGAACACATTAGCAGTATTTAACACAATTGATCATTCCTTCCTCCTTGATTTAAAGGTCTTCCTTAAGGTCTTCAAATCTTAATGCCATTTGAAGCTTTAAAAACTTCTAAAAGCTTCAAATGGCATTAAGACTCTGAGGATAGCTTTACTTTTTTAAAATTATTATTATTTTTTTTTTTTTTTTTTTTTAAAAATATATTTTATTGATTTTTTACAGAGAGGAAGGGAGAGAGATAGAGAGTTAGAAACATCGATGAGAGAGAAACATCGATCAGCCGCCTCCTGCACATCTCCTATTGGGGATGTGCCCGCAACCCAGGTACATGCCCTCGACCGGAATCGAACCTGGGACCTTTCAGTCCGCAGGCCGACGCTCTATCCACTGAGCCAAACCGGTTTCGGCTTAAAATTATTATTGATTAAGGTATTATATATGTGTCTTTATCCCCCTATTGCCCCTCCATCCCCCCCACTCATGCCCTCACCCCCCTGGTGTCTGTGTCCATTGGTAGGCTATATGCATGCATACAAGTCCTTTGGTTGATCTCTCCCTCTTTTCCCCGCCCTCCCCTACCTTCCCTCTGATGTTTGAAGGTCTGATTGATGCAGCTTTACTTTCTTAACTTGGCTTCCCACTGCCTCAACATTTCCACCTGGATGCCTATTAGCATTTTTAGATTTAAGATATCTAGAACTGAACTGATCTTCTGCTCCAAAACCTGCTCTACTCTCTCTTATTATCATCCCAGTTAATGGCTATTCCATTTTTTCCCAACCCCAGGCCAAGAACTTTGGAGTTATTCTTGAATCTATTTTCTCTCATACCCCACATCTGTCTATCAGGAAATTCTATTGTCTTGACCTTTAGCATACATCCAGAACCTGACCACCACCCTGTTCTGAGTTACAACATCATCTCTTGTCTATATTACTACAGTTACTTAGCTAATCTCTATTCCCTATAGTATTTTATCTCCACAGCAGTGAGAGTGATTAGATTATGTCACAATGCAAAAAATGGCATGTATGTGTGAAACCATGATAAATCTCTTTACCTGAAATATTAGACCCTTCCCTTACACTTAAACACTTCAGCTAAACCATATACAATTACTGGGAGGCTACCCAGAAATCTAGCTTTTATTTTTTTTTTTTTTTTACAATGACTCCAGCACTATTTTAGTTTGGGTCATGGGAATGAATAGGAAAGGATCTCTCAGAATTATATCAAGGTAATGAAGGCAGAGCCTTGGCTTGTGAACTATTTTTAGTAAATGTGATCTTGGCTGCAAGCTTCTGGGCAGTGGAAATTGAAACAACCAGGCTGGTCTCTACCTGTGTCTCAGAGACCCATTGGGTTAAAAATAATTCCAAGGATATATCAATTAGAAGCCCAGATATGAAGGTGATGGAGATGGTGTATACCCATGCTTTATTCAGGGATCCTAGCTCTGAATATAGATCCTAGTCACTGTTCTATAATGATGTGAATTTAGAGTACATTAATGATTGCAGGTGTAAAAAAATAAGTTTAAAACACACACACACACACACACACACACACACACAATCTATTAGGAGATAGTAAGCACTTTGGAAAAAAATAAAGCAGGATAAGAGTGATTAGGAATTAGGTTGGCAATGTTAATGAGGTTAGGAGAGCAGCAATAGAGCAAGTACTTGAAAGAAGTGAAGGAATTAGTTATGTACTTGGCAAAAGAGAGAATGGCTAATAGAAAGACCTATGGGGTGCTTGGCATGTTAGCTGGAATAGAGTGAGCAATAAAACAAGGTGAAAAATGTAGGCCATTAATGAACTTAACTTGTACTCTGAATAAGATGAAGAACTGTTGGAAGATTTTGAACCAAGGAGTTAAACAAATAAACAAATGTGTGCATACATGCACAAACACACACTTGACCCTTGAACAAAGCAGAGGTTTGGGGCACTGTGCCCCACCCGCCGCCCCCCCATGCCTTTCAAAATTTGCACATAACTTTTTTCCTTTTTAAAGTTAAATTTATTGGGGTAACTTGGTTAATAAGTTTATATAGGTTCCAAGTGTACAGTTCTGAGACACATAATCCTTATATTGCATTATGTGCCCACCTCCCAAAGTCAAATCTTCTGTCACTATATATTTGACCCCCTTTACCTTTTATTTTACCCCAGCCCACTCCCTTCCCTCTGGTAACCACCATACTGTTGTCTGTGTCTGTGAGTTTTTCTTTGTTTTTCTTGTTTGTTCATTGGTTGCTTTCAGTTTTATGTTCCACATATGAGTAAAAGCATATGGTTCCTAACTTCTGTCTGACTTATTTTGCATGTAACTTTTTTTTTTTTTTTTAATTTTTTTATTGCTTAAATTATTACAAAGAGTATTACATATGTCTCCTTTTTTTTTCCCCGCCCTTGACAATCCCCTGGCTTCCCCTACCCCCCAGTGTCTTATGTCCATTGGTTATGCTTATATGCATGCATACAAGTCCTTTGGTTGATCTCTTACCACCCCCCTCCAGCCCCCCCACCCTCCCCGGCCTTCCTGCTGTAGTTTAACAGTCTGTTTGAGGCAACTCTGCCTCTGTATCTATTATTGTTCAAGAGTTTATAATGGTCTCTATTATCTTGCATGTAACTTTTGACTCTCCCAAAACTTTACTAATAGCCCACTGTTGACTAGAAATCTTACCAATAATATAAACGGTCAATTAACACATTTTGTATGCATTATGTACTATATTCTTATAATAAAGTAAGATAAAAAATGTTATTAAGAAAATCATAAGGAAGAGAAAATGCATTTACAGTATTTATTTTTAAAAACCTACAAAGAAGTGAACCCACACAGTATAAACCCATGTTGTTCAACAGGCAACTCTATATTTCCAGTAACATTTACCAGGTGAGTGGAACAGCCTTAAAATCTTTTTTCAATGAGTACTACATGCCAGTCATTTTGCAGGCATGTAGAACTAATATTAAAACTTTGTTTCTTTTTAATTTTAGGTATTTAGGTGTTCATATAAACGAATCAAGATAACCAACCATGTCTGTCACTGAGGAAGACCTGTGTCACCACATGAAAGTAGTTGTTCGTGTGCGTCCTGAGAACACAAAGGAAAAGGCAGCTGGATTCCATAAAGTGGCCCATGTTGTAGATAAGCATATTCTAGTTTTTGATCCCAAACAACAAGAAATCAGTTTTTTCCGTGGAAAGAAATCTGGAAATCGAGATATTACAAAGAAACAAAATAAGGATCTTAAGTTTGTATTTGATGCTGTTTTTGATGAAACTTCAACTCAATTAGAAGTTTTTGAACACACTACTAAGCCAATTCTTCGGAGTTTTTTGAATGGATATAATTGCACAGGTAATTACTTCAGTTGGGGTTTAATTTTCCTGTCTGATTTTAGTTTTTACATTAGAAGAAACATCTACTTGGCCTTTTCCTCTAAATACCAATTTTAAGGTGCATGTTTGCTAAAATTATTGAATTCAGTAGACTTTCATTGTAAATGCAAACTTTATTGAAATTTAGTCATCATATATAACATATATCATTTGTGAAGCTTTCTCTTTCACGGTCTTGCTATGGTCCCTATAGACAATCATCCTTTCAATTTGTTATTAAACCACAGGCTTCTTATAATTGATGCCAGATTTCTCACAGTTTGTGTTTATAATAGTTTCACTGCTTACCCTTATAACTATCTATCCCTGTGGAATAGTCAGACATTTTTTGAACACTTGGCATTTTCTTTATAGCACCTTTTTTTTTTTTACAATATCTTGAAATAAAAATGTTAAAAGCCCATGTTAATTGGATTTCAAGTGCTTTGTTAGCATATCTTCAGCCAAAAAATAATGTCTAGTGCCCTTGATAGACCTATAATAATTTTCCTTTCAAAATGGCCATCTTGATTTCCTAGAAAGAGATATGTCCAAAAGGCCAGCTATTTCTCTATGCTTACAAGTCACTTAATACCACTATTCATATCATACTTTTGGAATTACACAGTTTATGGCATTTTCTTTAAGATGCCCCAAAACGATAACATATTTTACTGTCTCTCACTGACTCATTCAGTTTTATTACAGAAGACTTATCCTCTTGGTCCAGCAAGAAAGGAATGTGGTTTATTGATTATATTGCTATGATTATGAATTTTAGCATATATTCTTTTCTTCATTCATGGAATTCCATATTGTCTCTAGAGATTTTTGATTTTTTTTTACATCAAATAAACAAAAATCTACCAACTGAATCTTTGGTTTCTTCTTGGCTTTAACTTTATATTCTTATCTAGCTATCTTAAGACTTCTTGATATACTATGGTCTTATATAAAATAGAACAAAATGAAACATACATCACTTTAATTCATTCTTCTGAAAAGTATTTTTGTAGTTTAACATTTAGCTTAGCAGAGAAATTTAACTTATAAAAATATTCTCACCAGTAATAATATGAGAAATTATTGCCTTAACTCAATCTTATGGTGGGTATTTGCCATATGTGGACTTTTTTGGCATTAATATTGTGATGGTATTTGACATATGTGAACTTTTGGTTTTGCATTAATATTGTGATGGGTATTTGCCATATGTGGACTTTTTCTTGCATTTGAAAAAAAACATCACTTTTATGTGTTACTGGATAGAATCTTGAAAACCAAGTAATTTGCGTAAGACAACATTTTTTTTTTGTTTTAAATTTTAAAATGAATTTTATAAATGGTTTCAGTCTAGAACTCATTCATTCAGCAAACTTGTATCGAATACCTGCTTTGTGCCAGGTGGCTTGTTAAGTATGAAGGATATCTGGCCTCTGCCTTGGCAGAACTCAGAGTTGGAAATACACTGTGATATGTGCTGGAATAGAAAGTTGTGTGGCATATACTGAGGGCTCAAATAAGGGAGTAGACGTTTCTGCCTAAGACTGTCGGGGAAGGCACAGGAAAGTGACATTTGTGCTGAATATTTAGAATAGATGAAAGTTTTCTAGTTGGGTTAAATAGAGGAACTTTCCAGGACAAAGGCAGTGGAGTAGAAAGAGAGCAGCACTTGAGGAGAACTTCAAATAATCTAGTGTACCTAGACCACAGCAAGGGAGAAATAGGCTAGAGCGGTAACCAGACACCCTCTCTTAGAATGCCTAATAGTATTCCAAGGTGAGGAATTTGAATTTCCTCCTGTAGGACTGTGGAACTATTACACAGCTTTAACATATTCAAATTTCATTTTTCATAAAAGTAACTGCACAAATTCTATGGGATGGAAGAAGATTGAGACTAATAGGGAAACATAATTGATTACTTAAAATGTATAAGTTTGCTGTAGAAGATTGGGAACAAGTGTTGGGGTCGGGGAGAGGGGAGCCAGGTGGTTGGTTGGTGGTACCATTAATCAGAATAGGGAATATAGGAGTAAGAGTCAATTTTTGCGAACATTGCAGGTTTTAAGGATAAGACTATAAATTAATTTTGTGTCTATCTGTTGAGTTTAAAGTTACTGTTGAGCATATCCAGATGGAACTATCCACTAGACAGGGGCTATAGTAATGGTATATGTCATAACAGAGCGCTTTGATCCCTTTTCATAAAAACCCAGTACTTGCATATGGTGCCACTGGAGCTGGGAAGACCCACACGATGCTAGGATCAGCTACTGAACCTGGAGTGATGTATCTAACCTTGTTAGACCTTTACAAATCCATGGATGAGATTAAAGAAGAGAAAATATGTAGTACCGCAGTTTCTTATCTGGAGGTAAGTTGGCAATAGCATTCTTTAGATTAATCAGTAGTATTGAGAACTCTTTCTTTAAGAAGTTCCATGGTCCATTTAAATTATTCTGTCATATAGGAATTTTCTCATGAATATATAACAACATTTTTAAGTGCCTGTGATGCATCTTTCTCTTTTTCCCGTATTTTATTTGGCATATCTAACTTGCATAAAAGTAGAAAGATTAGTACAAAGAACTTCCAGATACCCTTCACCCAGATTCCCCATATTGTTAACGTTTGACCATCTTTGCTTTCTCTCTCTTTATGTGTGTGTAGCTGTTTCTTTTTTCTAAACTGCTGAAGTTACAGACTTCTAGAAGTTTCCTTAAATAACCACTGAAGAGTTATCAGGAAATTAATAATGATATACTGTTACCTAATCCATAGACCTTAATAAGAGTTTGCTATTGATTCTAATAATGCCCTTTATTAGAAAAGAAAATCTAAGATCCTTAGTTGCATTCAGTTGTCCTAACTCTTTAGTCTCCTTAATCTGGATTTCTTTTTTATGTTTTTGCTGTCATAAAACTCTTAGTTTGGTTTGTCACGATTAGATTTGGGTTATGCACTGGCAGAAATACCACACAAGTGACTTTGTGTTCTTATGACATCATATCAAGAGGCTTATGTGTTTAGTTAGTTCCATTACTAGCTATGTTAACTTTGATCAATTTCATCATGCTGGTGTCTGCAAAGTTTCTGCATTGTCAAGACTACTTTAACTTTTGTAATTAAAAAGTACCTTGTAGGGAGAATATGTAAATATCTTCTTACTCAAACTTTCATCCACTGATGATTCATGCTTGAGTCAATTATTACGATGTTAGATGATTATGATTTTAAATTCCTTCATTTCTTCTACATTTATTCATTGGCTGTCTACTGTAAAGAGAGCTTCTCTTTCCTTTATTGTATCAGTGTAAACTCATCAAGTTATTAACATAATTCAGTAGTTTATAACCTCTTTCTGTAATTATTTATTTATATGCTGAAATTGTGCCAATCAAGGCTCTTTTGTGCTGTCTCCTAGGTCCTTCTGACATGCCCCATCATTTCTGTAGGCCACCTGTCCTTTTACTAATAGCTGACATTCAACACATCATAACTAAGTGCCAGGCATTCTAACTTTGAATTAAGATAGTGTTTCAGAAACCAGTACAGAAACATAAATTCCTGATTTTACTGCCTATTCATTTGTGGTGTCAGAAAAAATTCTACTCGTTACAGCTCTTTTATTGATACCTTATAATTAAGCTCCTACATTTCAAAAATTCATTAAGATTATGTATGTTGCTAAAAATTTTCATCTTAGTCTATAGGACTTGAAGATAAAAGAGAAGTAAAACTCACTTCCGATAGTTAAGTATGGAAAACAATTGTTCTGAACATAATTAGAAAAGAGCATGGCAGGATTGGTTATTTCTTTTTTAGATCCCTTCATAACTGGGAGAATTTTAAAGTTTTTTTTAATGTTTTTAATCATTTTTCCTTTCTTTTAATCTACTTTCATTTTATTGGGAAGGCAATGTCTAATCTAATGGTTTTCCTCTTGGGCTGTACACCAGAATTGGCTATGGAGCTTTTTAAAAATAGCCATGCCTGGACCTCACCCCCTGGACATTTTAATTTAATAGGTCTGGATTGTGGCCGAGGCATCTATGTTTTTAAAAAGCTCCCAGGTGGTTCTGAAGCATAGACTAGCTTGAGAATGATTGTTCTAATTGCGTTTTTTCTATGATTTAAGTGGGTAAGGGAAAGCACTAGAAAAGTGACTGCTACTTCAGAAAAATAAGAGCCAAAAATGTAGCTCTTGAATATTTTACTACTTTAAAGAGTTTACTACATTTAAAAATGGTTATCATTCATTGTTAAAAATTTTACTAGCAATAAATTGTCACTATGGTCTATTTCTAAGAAAATGGAAATATCAGTGGTAGTTGACATTAGGTAGGAACTAGAAAACTTAGTACCTTTAGTAAATTCATAAAATTCGGTCAATAAAATTGTTTATATGCATTACCTAAAAAGATAAAAATTACTAAAAAAAAAAAAAAAATACCAGAGACATAAAGTACAGATGTGTATTCAATACCATGTAGTAGAGTGAGGATATTTGGCCTTCAGTCTCCTCTGCTGTTACCTTCGTGGACATGGACAAATCGCTTAACCTTTTAGGGTCTTAGTTCCTTCATTATTCAAATGGGGGTAGGGGTTTCCATTATGGAATTATCATAAAAATTGCATGTTAAATTAATGTAATTGAAGGATAAATGGAATAAAACACTATCCATCCTTGAGTATGAGTTTTCTTTAACTTTTGAGCTGTAAAATTTTTAAAAGTTTGGTCTACTTGGGCATCATGAAATAATAAATGTCTTCAGTGAGAACCATGCCACCTCCATATAACTTACATTTCAGATCCACTAGAATTTCCCAAGACCATGTGTCCTGTATATTTCCAGGAAATTGGTAAAGGCAATTCCAGCAATCTTATTTCTCTTTCACTGAAATCATCAAGTTAGCAATTACGGGATGAGCATATAATGACTCCACCTTTAAATTTAAATTTCAAGCCTATTTAGTTAAACTCTATGTAGTTAAACTCTTCTGTTTCCTCAGATGGTAAAATACTGATAGCAACATGAGATAGAAGGAATGAGATGAACTAAATGAGCTGCTATTTGTCTTTAAGATAAAATTCTAATATAAACTTAAATCAGCAATGTATGCCTGTTTGTGATGTTATCACTATTGTTTTAAGATCAATGTTAAAGCAGTTATTTTTATTTTTATTTTAAGGTATATAATGAACAGATTCGTGACCTCTTAGTAAATTCAGGGCCACTTGCTGTCAGGGAAGATGCCCAAAAAGGGGTCGTTGTTCAGGGGTTGACTTTACATCAGGTATGTTTATAAACTTTTCCTCTGTTCAGATAGCAAGTTTGGTTATTTAGCCATTTACTTATTCTTCATTGTGCTTGAGAAAGAAGAAAAATAATGAAGTATAAACTTAAAATAAACATGGTGTATCTTCAGTTTTATTTTGTTCTTTTTCTTTTAAAAATACTCTTGAACATTTAATATCATGTATTACTTTCTTTAATACATTTATATTTTATCTGCTCAGAAGACAAGGCTTTATCTTTTATTCCTCATGTAACACCAATGTACAAAGCAAATGATATATAGTCAATATTTAATAGGATTTAAATTATAGAAAGCTTTTTCTCACTTTTTTTATCTTTAAAATTCTTCTTGCTTGTTGAACATGTATTACAAAATTTAAACTCAGGTGGCTAATTTGTATATATTTTTAAACTTCTCTAGCCCAAGTCCTCAGAAGAAATTTTACACTTGTTGGATAATGGGAACAAAAATAGGACACAACATCCTACTGATATGAATGCCACATCTTCTCGTTCTCATGCTGTTTTCCAGGTAACAAGCCACTAGACTAGTGGTCGGCAAACTGCGGCTTGCGAGCCACATGCGGCTCTTTTGCCCCTTGAGTGTGGCTCTTCCGCAAAATACCAACTTCTGCGCATGGGCCACAAAGTTTCAATCGCACTGTACATGCTCGCCCGCACGTGGTATTTTGTGGAAGAGCCACACTCAAGGGGCCCAAGAGCCGCATGTGGCTCGCGAGCCGCAGTTTGCCGACCACTGCACTAGACTATTGCTCTTAAAAGTTGAATTTAAAATAAATGAAGCCAAATTTGTGGATTGTAATTTTCACACATACAAAAAATTTTTTTCATCTATGTACTTTCCTACTTCTTAGCTCTTTCTTTACTTTGCAGCTTTGAGAAGATTCTTACCAGAATATTTAGAAATGAGATGATGTAAAACAGAAATATAAATTTTACCTGGTTAAAGATATAGTGGATAAGAAGTATTGTAGTTTTTTCTTTCTTTTTTTTTTTAATTTGGTGAAAATATTTAATATTTCCAAAGCATAAACTTATATTCAGAGCAAACTTTATAGATCTAGATTTACATAACCAAGGAATTGGGGAGATACTGATTCACTTTTTAAAAGATTTCATCATAGTGACCATATAAAGTAGTTGCATTTTTTAAGAAAGTGCAATTCAGTTGATACAGTACTTTTAAGAATTCTAAATGCATAGGTTAGATATTATTTCTTACAGCTTCTAGTCCTGTTAAAGCCAAATGATTATGTAGCTTTATTATGGACTAGAGGCCCCGTGCGCCAAATTCGTGCACTGGGCGGGGCGGTGGGTCCCCTCAGCCTGGCCTGTGCCCTCTCGCAGTCTGGGACTCCTCGGGAGAGGCTCCTGCCACTGCTGCTGCGATCGCCAGCCATGACCCTGGCTTCTGGCTGAACGGCGCTCACCCTGTGGGAGCGCACTGAGCACCAGGGGGCAGTTCTTGCGTTGAGCATCAGTCCCCTGGTCGTCAGTGTGCATCATAGCGACTGGTCGTTCTAACGCAATAGTCACTTAGGTTTTTGTTATATAGACTAGAGGCCAGGTACACAAAATTCATGCACTTGGGGGGGGGAGTGTCCCTCAGCCCAGCCTGCACCCTCTCCAATCTGGGACCCTTCAGGGAATGTCCAACTGCCGATCCCTGCAGGATCGGGCCTATACCAGTAGTCGGACATCCCTCTAACAATCCAGGACCCTGCCTCCCAACTGCTCGCCTACCTGCCTGCCTGATTGCCCCTAACCTTTTCTGCCTGCCAGCCTGATCGCCCCCTAACCACTCCCCTGCTGGCCTGATTGACACCTAACTGCTCCACTGCCGACCCAGTTGCCCCCAACTACCTTCCCCTGCAGGCCTGGTCGCCCCCACTGCCCTCCCCTGCCGGCCATCTTGTGATGACATGGGCACAGCCATCTTGTGCGAGGGTGTGATAGTCAATTTGCATATTACCTCTATTATATTGGATTATGCTATGTAAAACTCATTTTATAAAAATTGTTATAGTTGAAAGAATTCATATCTGAGGCAATCAAGTCATTCAGAAAGTTTCCAATCCCACAAAATTGTATTAATCTTTTATATTCTTACTACTGACTTTATTTATCAGTAGTCTTGAGAGAAATATTTACCTGTGACATGGAGTTTTCCAAAATGTCTTAGACCCTGTTTTGTAAGAAAATTTAGCAAAAGAGTTTTATAATAGAGAAATATCTTTCCCATATCTTTTAAATTTGCCACCAAATTTATATCAGTTAAATGACAAAGTAGCTTAAAATAGTTGAATAAGTTGTGCTTTACTCTAATAGACTGTTGAACATGACTAGTATTCTTCAATATACTATTTTTTATATGTTTCATTTTTTAAACTATAATTACAACAATTTGGAGAACTGGGGTAAATTTACTCTTTGAATTGGGTCAACATTCAAATTCAGCTTTCCTTTGGGAACAATCCCTGCAGACATGCAAAGCATTCTGACCACTGCCTTTGATGTTCTCTTAGGAACATTATTTCTAAAGGACTTGTGCCCCACTACCATCTCTGATAATCCCATGATCTGATTCAAGGGTTACCAGATACAATTAGTGTTTGTTTTGACCTTAGTTCAGCCAACACTTATTTGTCCTCTGGACACATTTTATTTTCCAATTTTTCTCAACTTTGGTAGGTACTTCTAGTATTCTTAAATATCAGCCAAAGTAAACTGTACATTTCCCTTTTAATTTTGTTAAATCTTCTCATTTTCCCTATTCTGTAATTTCAAAAAGATTTATTTGCGACAACAAGACAAAACAGCAAGTATTGATCAAAATGTCCGAATTGCCAAGATGTCCCTCATTGACCTGGCCGGGTCTGAGAGAGCCAGTGCTACCAGTGCTAAAGGGACCCGGTTCAGAGAAGGTACAAATATTAATCGATCACTTCTAGCTCTTGGGAATGTCATCAATGCTTTAGCAGATACAAAGGTAGGTACTATATGTTTATTTGTTTAAATATTTTGAAATATTGAAGTATGTCTAATTCCTAGAGAGATAACTATTTAATATGATTTTGTTTTAAACATCTATTATTAATGAAATTTCAAGAGTACATCAATAACTTTTATATACAGAGCAAAGACTTCAGAAGGCCTAGTATATCAAATAAAGCTATGGTTCTGTGTTTTTTTAATTTCTAGTTTTATAACCAAAATTTGTTTAATGAAAAGTATTGAATATAAGTTTGATAGTTAATATTTTATGGTGCTTTCTCATTACTTATTTTGAACTTGATTTTTAAAGTCAGTATGTAATGATCCCTACACAGCAAGCATGATAATTGAATTGGCATGAATGAACACAAAACACATCTTAAAGCAGTGGTTCTCAACCTTTTGGCCCTTTAAATACAGTTCCTCATGTTGTGACCCAACCATAAAATTATTTTCGTTGCTACTTCATAACTGTCATGTTGCTACTGTTATGAATCGTAATGTAAATATCTGATATGCAGGATGGTCTTAGGCGACTCCTGTGAAAGGGTCATTCGACTGCCAAAGGGGTCGCGACCCACAGGTTGAGAACCGCTGTCTCAGAGAAACTAAAACCTGTTCTGGTTAGTATTTTTTATATACTGTAAAATTAGGTTAAATATTAAAGAGTGTTGATTTTTCTTAGAGAGGAAGAGGAACTTAAGCTATAAAATGTAATTAAATTACCTAGGTTAAATAGGTTAGTGTTTATTGGATGCTTTTAGGGCATTTAAAATATTTTATATCTACTATATGCCAGAAGTGCTTACTAGAATACAGCATATTTGACAGTTTTTGTATTTGTAAAAAATGACTTTTTTAAAAGTTAAAATACAGTCATTTAATTTAAGTTCAATCAGCCTCAAAAGCTTTAGGAAAATTATGGTGAAGTCTTTAAAATGTTGCCTTTTGATTTAGTATCAATTATTTTAAAATGATTTGAGGACGCTTTTTAAAATATGTAGTTACTGAAGTCACATGAAGATTGCAAAAACAAGGTGACTTTTATATTTTAACTTAAAACTTTAAACATGTAAGCAGACAGCATGGTATAGAGACTGATTTTCTACGTTTAAACTATGGCATTTTTTTTCATACTTCCTTAATTTTTAATATTTGACTCCCATAGAGTCATTTATGAGTCAGTGTTTAATGAATGTGTTGTACATGAAAAATCATTTCAATTACCAGCAATACACATTCTACAGTTTCAAAAACTGTAGATGGAAAGCACAGTAATACTGGGAGTTGGGAGACCTAGGGCCCATTTCTAGGTCTGAATTACCAGCCATGTGAACTGAAACATGTCATTTTGCTTTTTACTTAGTTCAAATTTTCCTCTTCTGTAATATCAAAGATATCCATTGGATAACATAAGTTTGCTTTTAGCTTAACATTATAATGCTCTGTTTTTACATAGTAGTTATACATCTTGTGAAAATTTTATGATAGTCAGAACTGTATCTTTTAAGTAAAAGAAAACTTAGAAAAATGACGTTCTTTTTTTTTATTGATTAAGGTATTACAAATGTGTCCTTAAAAATGACGTTCTTATAACTCTTATGCTTTCAGATAAAGTATCTGTAAAATAGTAATTATAATAATAATTACCATTTTAGATGGTTAGAGAAAACAGCTCTATGCCACGCAGAATTCTTACTATTCCTCTAGGGCATATATTAATTTTGTATTTTAATTTATTTTAAAAAATGAATGGAAATTTTTTAAATAGGCATTTTGTTTTTGAATAGGTTTAGATGCAGAAAAGTAGCTAAGATAATACAGAAAAATTTTCTTAAATATACTCCACACTCATTTCCCCTTGTTGTTCACATCTCACATTAATAAGGTACACTTATTACAACTAATGAACCAACATTGATATTTTATTATCTAAAGTTTATATTCAGATAGATATAAAATCTTTAAATAGGATATTTGTTTTATATATTCATTGCATCCTCCTATATAATAAAATCATAGTATGCAAAATGTCCCCTCAACCAGGAGGTCGCCTGGGAGTTCAACCAGGGGGGCAGGGCCAGCCGGGGGAAGGGAGGGAGTACCAGCAGGCAGCCGCTAGGGACCCTACCTCTACTAGTTCCATAAGATTCATTATCAACATTTAGATCCCCATTTATATCATAATTCTGGAAAGTTGGGCAGTTTCTTATATTCTTAAAGTGAAGTGGTAGCAGGTTTGCATTTAAATGTGGGAAATGACATAAGAATTCTTTTTTTTGTGTGTTTTTTTGTTTTGTTTTGATTTTTGGTGTGTGTGTGTTTTCAGAGAAAGAATCAGCATATTCCTTACAGAAATAGTAAGCTCACTCGCTTGTTAAAGGATTCTCTTGGAGGCAACTGTCAAACTATAATGATAGCTGCTATTAGTCCTTCCTCTATGAGCTACGATGACACATATAACACTCTTAAGTATGCTAACCGTGCAAAGGACATTAAATCTTCTGTAAGTATGTTTAGTCTGCTTTTGTCATAAGGGTATTGGGTGACATTATTTTTATAATTCTAACAAAATATTAATTTAGAGTTGCATTTTTACTAATGAGTTAGGAAATAGTGTTAGAAATATCTTTACAGTTAGGATGAATTGAACATTAAACCATTAAGCATCTTGATTACATGTATATAGATAACTATTATTCAGTCTTTTGGCAGCTTAGGCGCTTTAGTGCCTTTTTCCCTTTTTTTTAAATCCTCACCCAAGGATATATTTCTATTGATGATTAGAGAGAGTGGAAGGGACAGAGAGAGACAGAGGGGAAAAAAACACACTTTGTGAGAGAGACACATGGATTGGTTGCCTTCAGCACATGCTTCTACCAGAGCTGGGGATCGAGCCTGCAACCAAGATACCTGCCCTTGACTGGAATCAAACCCAGGACCCTTCAGTCTGAGGGCTGACACCCTATCCACTGAGCCAAATCAGCTAGGGCTTTAGTGCCTTTAACCTTTTCCACATCATGGCACATGATTTTTTATGGCACCCGGGAGTAATTGGTCAAGGCTTTAGCATATTGTGGCAGCTAAAGATGAACTCTTTTAGCGTAGCACCAACACTTTCTACCTAACATCCTTGGACAAGTTAGCTCATTTCTCTAAGCCTCAGTTATTTCTTTTTTTTTTTTAAATTTTTATTAGTTAAGGTATTACAAATGTGTCCTCATTCATCCCCCCCATTAACCCCCAACCTCCCCCCCCCCCCCCCGCGCACTCATGCTCCCATCCCCCTGTTGTCCATGTCCATTGGTTTTAAGCCTCAGTTATTTCATCTGTAAAATAGTTATATCTGCCTCAGTTTATAAAGTAAATAGCTTTTTAAAAATCATTTATTTTTACGTTTATGATATTGACATAACCAATCTCTAGCTCCAGCAATATAACAATTGGTTAGATCAGTATTTTTGCAAAAAAATTGGGGTAATTAAAAAATATGTAAGTCAAACATAATATATGTTTAAAATCACAGGATCTCAGGGTTTGAAGAGACCTAGAGTTAAACTAGTGTGATAACTTCTCTGCCTGCTTAACCTTCTGCTACTCTTATTTAATGAACATGAACATGTTATTGTCTTCCTTTGAGAAATGTTCAGATACTATTTATATAATTAGTTGCTAAAAGCTGTAGAATATGGGTATACAAAGGTTTTGTATACATTTTTCATATAATCCTTACACTAACCCATTATGGAAGGCATTTTTAGCTCTACAGTGGAGGAATCCCATGCTCAGAGTTGTAGGTACTAAATTCCACATCATTTAGCTGAGAAGTGAGCAGGGCCTCAAAATTAAGTATTTGGACTTCTATGTTTAATGTCTCTCCACTATTCCATAGCTGCCAAGGGGCCCATACTTTTATATAAAGGATAAAATGTAATAACTCATTACACCTAGTTGAACTTAACAACTGTCTCAGTCTTAAAATTATCTCTGAATTTCTTAGAACTCAGAGGAAAAAGAAAATGGGTAATTTTTATCATATTGAGAATGAATGCTTCATAAGTTCTTAAAAAATATCTTTTTTCACATAGTAAGGCAATCTCTTTATCATTGCATTTACATTATTAATGTGGTCAGCATATCCTCTTGTCATGATTTTAAACGTGAGCATAATTGATCATGTGCTTGCCACAAATTCTGAATTCGTGGAACTGAATTAATGAGCATATAATGCCATTTTGTTTGTATATAAAGATAATGATTATCTTTATATTTACTCATAATTTCTATATTTTAACAGTTGAAGAGCAATGTTCTGCACCTTGACAATCATATAACTCAGTATGTGAAGATCTGTAATGAGCAGAAGAAAGAGGTATGTCTACTTTTTACATATACTAATCTTCCTCACTTCCTCACTCATGGGATTTTACAAACTTAATTGTCTAAAAATTTGAGATGTTTTCTATTACATATGAAATCTGGCTTTTTCAATTATTTTTCATGGCTAAAATTTTTCTGTGGCCATGTATAATAGAAACAGATAATTTATTTTGTATTTTAACTAGTGTTTCTCTCTACTAGATTTTAATGTTAAAAGAAAAACTAAAAGCCTATGAAGAACAGAAGGCCATGACTGAGGAAAATAACCAAGCACAGTTAATGATTTCAAACCCTCAAAAAAAAGAAATTGAAAGGTAAAATTGATAATCAAGATTTCATTTTGATGTTTTTCTTATTTTGAAATTTTTTCAAATATGTTGTTATTGTTTGTTGTATAAGTATGTTTATATACTCAACTGCATTCAGATTGGTGTTTATATTTTACACTTTGGAGATCCATTATTTTAGTTGTGATTATATAGATCAGCGGTTCTCAACCTGTGGGTCGCGACCCCTTTGGCGGTCGAATGACCCCTTCACAGAAGTCACCTAAGACCATCCTACATATCAGATATTTACATTACGATTCATAACAGTAGCGACATTACAGTTACGGAGTAGCAACGAAAATAATTTTATGGTTGGGTCACAACGTGAGGAACTGTATTTAAAGGGCCAGAAGGTTGAGAACCACTGATATAGATAGTAAGGAGAACCAGGACTTAGGTATAATATATTCAGAGAAGGTAAAGCCAATGATATCACTTATGAAATTAGTTTTTAGTGCATTTCTTATTTTTCTTCTCAGTTGTTGTAGTCTATTCAAGCTGCTGTAACAAAATACTACAGACTGGGTGGCTTATAACAACTATATATATACTAGAGGCCCGGTACACAAATATTTGTGCACTCAATGGGGGGGGGGTCCCTCAGCCTGGCCTGTGCCCTCTCACAGTCTGGGACCCCTCTGGGATGACCACCTGCTGGCTTAGGCCCGCCCCCCGGGGGATTGGGCCTAAGCTGGCAATCAGACATCCCTCTGCAGCCCGGGAGCCCTCGGGAGATGTCCACTTGCCAGCGGGAGCAGCTAAGCTGCAGTCTGACATCCTTA